CACCAGTTTGCATTCCCACCAACAGTGCAAGAGGGTTCTTGTTTCTCCACATACTCGCCAGCATCTATAGTCTCCTGATTTGTTCATTTTGGCCACTCTGACTGGCGTGAGGTGATATCTGAGTGTGGTTTTGATTTGTATTTCCCTGATGAGGAGCGATGTTGAGAAGATGCTACTCTTTTTAATAAGACCAACTTTGAACCTCCACCAGACTCCTGATTTCCTTAACATGGGTTCCTTCCTTTGTCTTCATCAAATTCACTTCCTTCTATCATACTAGAGGATTTACTATTTATTTTGCTGTTATTTATCACGTTTTCTGCCACTAGAATGTAGGCAAGGATCTCTGTTGTTATTCTTGTTGTTGTTCACTTATTTATCCAAACAGCTTAGATCAGTGCCTGTTAAACACAGTAGGTATGCAATAAATATTATAAAGTCAACAAGCAAGTTATTTATCTTAACAGGACATTTGTTGTAATCTTCTAACTTTTCTTGGTTGAAAAAACTTCACCCCGTACTAAACTTGACAGTCACTGTTTACCTACCCAGACCTCTTTTTCAACAACACCAGGTAACATACGTGGAGTATTTACTACATACTGGGTACTGTTCTAAGTACTTCCTATGTTCATTCAATCCCCACAACAACCTATGAACTACACGCTCCCAAGAACACATTTATTAAGGGAAGGGAACCTAGGCAAAATTGGAACCCAGGCAGTCTGCTTAAGGACACACACTCTTAACCACTGCTCTGCTGACTTTCTTCCCACAGACCTGGAAGAAGCAACCTGAGGAAACCAGCTAGACCTGCTGACTGAACCGGGACAGTCACGTAAGGTCTGAGAGTGTGAAGCATTCAAGTTACAGTAAGCAAGAACTAAAAGGTAATGTTGAGCGGAGTCAATGTGGGGAAGCCAAGAAGCAAGGACAAAAGCAAGAAAACCAGTGTACGGAGAGGAAAAGATAAAAGGATAGAGCATATAGACAGAAAAAAGAAGAAATGTGGTAACATAAATTCGAACAAGACAGGCAGACAGACATTAGCTTACAGGAACTCTTAAGACCTGAAGGAACTGTCTGACAACCTGAAATAGGGTTCAATTAGTTTTGTGGTTTTATAATACTTCTACTGCTTGAATGGATATGTGCTCGCTGACACAAAATCATCTCTACCTAGAACAATTTCCACAGTACTATGGACTTGTAAAAGCCCCTTTGTTATGATGAAATAATTAAATCAATATGGAAATCAGTACATTATAGTAAAAGTGAGTTAAGTTTGGGAAAAAAACAACCCAGACTTAGGTCTCGTTTCTATCATTTTGTTAACTATATGACCTCAGGCAATCTCGCTGAACTTTAATTACGCTTTCTATAAAATAGGAATAATAACACATGCGTAGCCAGCTTCAAATGTCATTGTACTAAATGAGATGGTATTTGTGAATAGACTATGAAGAATACAAACTGTTCGACAAATGTTACCTAGTATGATGATACGTGCAGATGTGAACTGACGCTAGTTACCTGTAAAGGAGGATATAATGTCTTTCCAAAGGTGAGCAATATAATTATTCTAAGATTTACTGGTTGGCGAAAAAAATCACTGGGTATAAAGGGGCGCCTGGGTGGCGCAGTCGGTTAAGCGTCCGACTTCAGCCAGGTCACGATCTCGCGGTCCGTGAGTTCGAGCCCCGCGTCAGGCTCTGGGCTGATGGCTCAGAGCCTGGAGCCTGTTTCCGATTCTGTGTCTCCCTCTCTCTCTGCCCCTCCCCCATTCATGCTCTGTCTCTCTCTGTCCCAAAAATAAATTAAAAAAAAAAAAAAAAAATCACTGGGTATGTATTTGTCTGTATATGTACAAACCACCATAAAAGCCAAAATAAATAAATGTGTGTAGATGTTCCTTCATTCATATGCAAGGATATTGATACTGAAAGTACATTATTACCTAGAAAGATCCAATGACTTAGGAATAATATTTAGCATTCACTGAAATAGTGCCAAGAACTAAAATATAGTTCTTTTGATAAGCTTCTACCGCTTCTCCTGTCCTGACCTGATATGTGCAGGGCCCTTGCAAAGGACAATGGTGTCAGGAAAACTGAAGAACTGAGAAGTTAGGTCTTTCTCTTAAGATGTCACAGCAAATCAATGACATGCACAGTCACAACTAAACTCAAGAGACTTCTGAGGCCAAAGCTGTTTCTATCACACCATGTTCCTTCTAAGCTACCTCTTTAAAATGTTTTAAGAGACTGTTAAATGGCATAAGAAAACCTGTATCAAAAGTTATAATACAGAGATAGTTCAAAAACTAAATAACAGACTTCCTGTCCTACCTGGGATCCACATAAGGAGAACAGTGCACTGTAACAGAAGGAGGAGGACTTCCTACTTTTCACTCCACTTCATTCCACTTTTCTTTTGCTCAGCCTTCCTGACGATGAAAAGAACTTAACCTATTCTTAGACATAAAGATAATACCTAATATCTCTATACCCAGCAACAGAAAGGAAGCTCTGCAAAATGAGGGAACTGTCCTAAATAATGTCAAATGTAACTTTCAATCATAAAAAAAGTTTGTTATACACGGAACTCAAACACTGCCAAAGTTCCACATTATAGTAGTTTAAAATGTTCACCCAGGGAAAGAAGCTAGCACTCCAAAATCAGAAGGAGATGTTCACCTGGCTTCCAGCTGTCTTTACCTATGAGTCAGATTCATTAACCATTTGCTGAATTTCACCATGATCTCTGACAGTGTATATCTGAAAACGTCAATTTTTCCTAGAGCAACGGACTTCCAAACTACACCACCTCTACAAGTAAAACATATGGCCAACAGCCTTTCCCTTTCCCTGTGAAAAAAAATTCCTCCAAGCTCTCACTTTTGGCAATATAATTTCCATAAAATGGCAGGTCGACTCTCCCATGCAATCCTGGGTTTCCAAGAGAAAGGAAACTTCACATCTTTCTAAATTTTAGGACTCCACGCCAACGTGCCAAATCTTCAGTTTGCCAAGATACTGTTCGCAACACGTGTGTAATATCCCTTCTTGCTTTGTGAGATTCTGTAAGCTTCCACAGAAATGTGACGATCGCCTTTCTCCCACATTTCCTCAATCCCAGATCCCCAGACTCACATGCTGATAAAGAGTAATTCACCATTCACATACAAGAGGTATCTCAAAACCAAAAGCTGAGTCTAACACAAACCAAGGACTACAAGTGCCAATATCCTTGGCATCCATGATTTACGCACACACATGTGGTTTCATATTGTATGTTGTATTTGAACTGTCATTCGTTTGGATAGGAACCTGATGTTGACTATATTCTCCAACCAACAATTTTGTTTTTATATAATTGATGGCAAATAATACAAATGTATCCCAACAACCTCAGAAAGGAAAACCAGTTAGGTACTGAAAATAATGAGAGAGAGAGAGAGAGAGAAAGAAAGAAAGAAAGTGACTTTTCAAAATGTAATAAATGTCTCCAAGAGGACAAAAGAAAAAAACAAATGATTTGTTTTGCACTTTCACCATTAGGAATCCATCAGTAAGAACATGACGGACCATATAGAAAGTTATAATTAACTTACAAACAGGCCCCAGAGCTTAGGGCATCTGTTCACATATTGCCTTGGCTGCCTCCATTAAGAGCAGCTTTACCTCAGTAAGTCCAATATTCTTCCTTTTAATGACATTCTGCAGAGAGTTGCTCAGAGTCCTGGTTAGCAACAGGTTTGTAGATTTACGAATCATGTCATCGACTTCGGTTGAGCTGAAAAAGAATTATCAAGAGTGAGTCATACCAGGGAGCAGGATTACTCTTGAAACAAACAAGGCACCACCAGTGGTACTTCTGATGATGTTAATGATAATGGCAGCAGCGAATAACATTTATTTTGTGCCAGAAATTATTCTAAGTACTTTAATATACTAAAATTCATTTAGTGGTCCTGGGTGGCACAGTCGGTTAAGCATCCGACCCTTGATTTCAGCTCGGGTCATGATCTCACAGTTCATGAGACTGAGCTCCTCGTCGGGCTTTGTGTTGACAGCATGGAGTCTGCTTGAGATTCTCTCTCTCTGCCCCTCCCCCATTCATGTTCTCTCCCTCTCTCAAAAATAAATAAATAAACATATAAAATAAATAAAATTCATTTAAACTTCACACCAATGATACAAAGTACTTTTATTATTATTTCTACTTTACAGATGAGGAAATGAAGGCACAGAGAAGTTAAGTAACTTCTTCAAGGTCATACATTAAGTAAACAGCAAAAAAAGGCTTTGAACAAGGCCATCCAGCGCTAAAGCCCATAGCATTTAAACACTATGATAAACTGTCTCTCAGAGCACATAAACAGTTACCCAGCATGATTCCTCATCCTGAAACCATTATTTCTCCCATACTTCCAAGTTCCTTCACAGATTGTTAATATTAATAATTTTCCAACCTGGTCTCTCCGTCGGCTTCCTACCACTAATTGTGTACAGCTAACTGCTGGTAACGACCCCTAAGAAAAGTTACCTCTGTATTGTCTTCTTTCATAGAATGTCTGTTTAGCTCTGATTCCAAAATAAGTGTTTTAGGCTGGTAGTTTAATAATGCATAAGTGTCTTGTAATCCTTACTATCCCAAAAATGACGAATAAAGACATTTTCCTTTTTTGAATTTATTCCCTCATTTTTAATCCAGTGAACATTATTAAACCCTTATTGTGTAATCGTTTTTTTTTTTTTCAGGTAAACTCACCACCCCAAAATCAAGAGTTGCATGCTCTAACAATTGAGCCACCAGGCACCCCAATAATGGCATTTTCTATACAGTAAAGGAAACTAAACATAAAGAAAATGATTCAATAGCTATCTATATTTATATGCGAAGTTTGAAAAAGAAAAACAGCCCTGTAACCAATAAACTAAATTCTAGACCTATACATCCTCCATGAGCCCCTGAAAGTATAACCCAAGATGGCTTTCTATAAAAGATGTGCTTTTAAGACAAATATTTCTTCAATGATAAGGTTAATGTTACAGAAATTCTAGTTTATAAACGTCAAGAAATAACTGTAAATAGAGATTTGTGAGTTCTTTGTAAATTTATTGCTTGTGGATGATGGTCACAAATTTAATCTCATCCATTTCTCTTTCTAGAGAAGAAAATCAGAGGCTTAGTATAGTCAGATTAAAAATCTTACAATTCTAAATATATAGGCAAGGTATATTATCAGGCTGTGTGGAAAACAGAAAAATATCAAAACTAAATATGACTACAGAATGCAAGGACATAATCAGGAAGAAATGATACATCAAAATATTTTCACAACGTCCACGTAAGGATACATTTAATTGACCAATACCCTCTGGCCCACTGCTAACCTTTCCAAAATTATTACTGAACTGAAATACTTCATTCCACAAATATATGAGGTGCTGGGCATTATGTGGGTAGAATAATGAGATCAAAATGGTGAATGAACAAAACAGTCATGGTTCCTGCTTTCATATATTAAACTAATAATTATACCAGGTCAATTGTAATATGAGCTACAAATAAGTATAGGTTGCTATAAAAATTATTAACACAGGTATCTAAAGAATCTGGTTCCCCTGATATTAATCACTCTCATGATATCCTGTACTTATTACATATCTCTATTATGGTTTAAGAAGACTGGGGCGCCTGGGTGGCTCAGTCAGATCAGCACCTGACTTCCGCTCAGGTCATGATCTCATAGTTAGTGAGTTCAAGCCTTGCGTTGGACTCTGCACTGACAGCTTAGAGCCTGAAGCATGCTTCAGATTCTGTATCTCCCTCTCTCTCTGCCCCTCCCCCACTTGTGTTCTCTCTCTCTCTCTCTCTCTCTCTCTTTCTCTCTCTCTCTCTCTCTTTCTCTCTGATAAATAAACATTACAAAAAAAAGAAGATCTAGCAGAAGTTCCACATTTGGATGTGATATAGAAGATTAAGAAAGACCACCGCTATCTTCATCACAACAAAAAAGTCAGGTCTAATCTAAAAGCTATATTTTCCTTCAATGTCCACAAAGTATAATTAGCACACATACATAAATGTATACCTGAATTGCGCACCATGACAAGCCTTTGAAAGGTGACCAAAGGGTAGCAGTCACTTTCATACCTGAGGCCGTTTACTACTCTGGGTACAGATGGATACAAGACTGAAACAGTCAGAGGCTAAAAGGCTTTGGTGAGATGGAGAGAAATTAGCCAAACCATTAACAGTATGGGCTGCTATGACAGTTTGGAACCCTGGAGAACCCCGAAACAAAAATAAATGAATTGATGCAATAATTCTCCCCTACAAGAATTCTGCTCCATAAGAAATGGTGAGGGGGGTGCCTGAGTGGCTTGGTCAGTTGCGCTTCTGACTCTTGATTTCAGCTCAGGTAATGGTCTCACAGTTCATGGGTTTGGTCCCCATGTAAGGCTCCGCACTGATGGTGAGGGGCCTGCTTGGGATTCTCTCTCTCCCCCACTTCTCTCTGCCCCTCCCCTGCTTGTGCACATGTGTGCTCTCTCTCTCTCTCAAAATAAATTAAAACACACACACACACACACACACACACACACACACACACACACACAAAGGTGAGGGCAGGGCAACTGGGCAGCTTAGTCAGTTAAGCATCCCACTCTTGATTTGGGCTCAGGTCATTATCTCATAATTGTGAGATCCAGGCCCCTATCGGCTTCACACTGAGCATGGATCCTGCTTGGGATTCTCTCTCTCCTTCTCTGTCTCCGCCCCTCCTGCACTCAATCTCCACCCCTCCCCCCAAAAATAAATAAGCAGTTATAAAAAGAAAGAAGAAAGAAAGAAAGAAAGAAAGAAAGAAAGAAAGAAAGAAATGGTGAAGACAATGCTAGAAAACAGAGACAGATCTTGCAAATTCTGCAAGGGGTTTTGTTTTCAGGGCTACAGAAACTCAATCCAAAAAGGAGAAGAAACTAATGATGAAACCAGCCCAGCTCAAATCCTGTTAAGATCAGAGATAAGCTCCTGGATAAAAGTTCTGGAATTTTAGAGTTGGTCTTCTGGACAAAGAGATTCTGCAGTATCATTTGAAATCAGAAGTAATTTGAAACTAATTAAAACTGAGACTCACATTCAGCTCACTCAAGAAATCTGAATGATCTATCAAGCAACTAGGAGTTGCAGAAGAAGAAAAAGAATGAGAAAGGAGGCATATTGAAAGACATAGTGGCAAAATCATCTCCAAACATGACAAAATATTTCAACCCACATATCCAAGAGCTTTAGTACCTCCCACACAAAATTAACACACACATTTAACAACATCAGAGTCATGGGGTGCCTGGGTGATTGAGTCAGTTAAGCGTCCAACTTTGGCTCATGTCATGCTCTCACAGTTGGTGAGTTCGGCCCCCGCGTCGGGCTCTGTGCTGACAGCTCAGAGCCTAAAGTCTGCTTCAGATTCTGTGTCTCCCTCTCTCTATGTCCCTCCCCCGCTTAGACTCTGTCTCTCTCTCTCAGAAATAATAATGAATAAGGTTTAAAAAAAAGAATATTAGATCAAATTGTAAAGTCCAAAGATAAAAAGAAAATCTTAAAAACAACCATGGAAAGAAGACAATACATTCAGAGGAACAAGAATAATAATGGCTTATTTCTCTTCAGAAAACAATGGAGGCAGACAGTGGTATGACATCTTTAGACTATCAACCTACAAGTCCATGTCTTAGAAAATATATTTTGAAAACACAGGTGATAAAAATACTTTCAGAATAATTTTAAAACTATTTTAAAGTATTTTAGAAATATTTTTAAAAGCCAAGAAAATGCCACACCAGCAGATACACCCTAAGGAAATGCTAAAAGAAAATTTTTCATGCTGAAGGAAGATGATGCCAAAGGGTAACCTCGATATGTAGAAAAGAATGAGAAGGCCTGAAAATGGAAACTACGTAGTGGGTAAAAATAATACAATTTTTTTTCTTGAACTTTAAAATATTATTAAATGTTCAAACACACAATAAACTATTTTAGGGTTAAAACAGGTGTATAAGTGAACTATGTGGCAACAACATCAAAAAAAAAAAAAGAGAAGATAAACTATTTTACGCTGTGGTAAGATTCTTAAATTACATACAAAATGATATATTATTCAGGGTAAACTGTGATACATCAACAATGTACACTGTAGTCCCCACAGCAACCACACAAACAAACCGTTGGGGGGAGAAAGCTATACTCAAGTAAAGCCAGTAGGGAAATAAATCACAATACTAAAAAAATTCGGTCAAGAAGAAGGAAGGAAAACATGAAAAGATGAGCAAAAAATGAATGAGACAAACAGAAAAACAATAGCCAGCATGCAGGCTTAAATTCAACCACATCACTAAATTCATTAAGGTACACTCCAATTACACAGATTGTATCAAGAGCCAAGAAGCACCTATTTGTTGATTCAAAATGACACATTTTAAAATAAAGACACATGCCCAGATCTTATTTTCAAGATACCACTCAACACTAAAGGGAAGTGGGCCCCTTGGAGAAATCAATGATACCATGGTTAAGTAAGGAAATGTCCCAAAATGTGACAGGAATGCACCAACAAGGCATAGGAGCTAGTCTGAAAGGTTAACACTCCCTACATCTGGGACAGTCTGGCATCAAAAGGAATGAAGATAGTAAAGGAATGAACCAATTGAATTAAGAATCCGTGTGTTTTAGCTGATGATAGATGATAAACAGGTAGACAGACAGACAGACAGACAGATAGAAGA